GAAAACTTTGGGAAATACATATTTATACATATATATAATACGTGTGTGTGTGTGTGTGTGTGTATATATATATACATATATATATATCTCCCAAATATATAGTAGCGTGTGTGTGTGTGTGTGTGTGTGTGTGTGTGTGTGTGTGTGTGTGTGTGTTTATGTGCATGGATAGTACCTAGTCACTGCCTCCAGGGCCTAATTCCTTCTTGAAGGTAATATAATGGAATAAATTGATCTTGAGTTGGTTGATGGGATTCATAGGTAGTGAGGAGGGGGCATACTAGTTGGAGGGAATAGTGTGAGAAAAGGTATAAATGTGATTTCGGTCAGAGGTCAATGAGTCAATAACCTGTCTTACCAGAGAACCTTTCTTGGAAAAGGTGTGTAGTGTAGTGCTCACTAACGCAGGAAACAAGAATAGAACAAGGCCGCTGACAGTCAGTCCAAGGAGTTTGGAATGTGTCCTGTAGGTATCAGGGAGTCATTGAAGACTTTATGAGCAAGTGCAATATAGCAGAGGTACTGTTTGGGGAGTAACCAGCTGAAGGCTATGAAGATGGACCTGATTATAGCAAAATCTATCAGGAGTAGTAGTAGTCTGAGCCAAATCATGTTGGAACTCATGCCCCCAAATGCTCTTTCATCTATATTGTTTCTCATCTTTTACATTTTTTAAGACCACTCCTCTTATGTTTTTCAGATGTCTTCCATTTCAGTATTAGGCCCTTTTTTGGTATTTGCAAGTGGTAATTCCATAATCCCATTTGATTTCCATAGCATCTAGTGTAATTATTTTTTGCTTTATGAAAAAGTAGGATTTCCGATACTTTGTGCTAAAACCTAGTAGCACGAAAGAATAGGCCGGATTTATCTTAAATATCTGCTTTTATCATTCATTGCAAACATAAGCCCTTTCATTAATATTAAGAAAACTGAACATAACTATCTCAGCAAAAAAAAAAAAAAATGTAGCATCAGAAATCCTCCATGATTTGCCTCAACCTACTTTTTGCAGTTTTGTTTTCATTACCCTCTTCAGCCACCATTTGTTTCAACCTTATCTCTAATCTACATACTTACCCAGCATTTTCCTGTTTCCACCTTTGCCCCCATCTCTCACCTCTCATCCACTTGCCCTCTCCTTCACACCTAGAAATCTTATCCTTTCTCAAGATCCTATTTTGATGTAGCCCCTTTTAAAAGTGTGGCATGCAGGTCTTACTTTCTGTACTCCCCTCCATCCAGCAGATATTTGCCTGCATTCCCACAGCCCCATTATTACACCCAACAGAGTAAATAACAATTGCCTAATTCTGTTATAAATACTGTCAGGGCATTCCTATATGACTAAAGCATGGGGAAACAGATGACAGTATAGAGAAATGTCTTAACTGCTGTAATTAGAGTAAGCATGGGAGAGAGTCTCTCAAAGCTTTAATCAGCTCTTCTGAGTCAGCAAGAGAGAGCAAGGAAAGCATCCAGGAAGAGGTGATACTTTTTTTTTTTTTTTTTTGCGTTGGAGTCTCACTCTGTCGACCAGACTGGAGTGCCGTGGCACGCTCCCCGCCACCACAACCTCGACCAGCTGGGCTCCGGTGATCCTTCCGCCTCAGCCTTCCAAGTAGCCAGAATTACAGGTCCGCGCTACCACGCCCGGCTAATTTTTGTTTTATTGCAGAGATGAGGTCTCGCCAAGTTGCCCGGGTGGGTCTCGAACCCTCAGGCTCAGGCAATCCACTCACCTCGGCCTCCCAAGAGTGCTGGGATTACAGGCTGAGCCAACTAGCCTGGCTAGGTGGTACTTGAATTAACTGTTGAAGGTTAAGGAAATCTGAATGATCAAAGTAAAATCACCACTGACTCACATGTAGATTATAAAGGAGGAAGGGAAGAGTTAGTGAGAGACAAGTCTGGGAAAGTGGGCAGAAGGTTAGACTTTATTTTATTTCATAAGCCATAGGGACTCAGGGAAGTGTTTTAAAACAGAAGAGCTCCTGGATGTTTTACTTCTGTTTTAGAGAGGTTGCTGGGAATCTCAGTAGTAGATTGAATGGCATCTTTGTTTATCGTATTAGCAAATGCATTGCCAGTAACTTATAAATTAAGGTTTTTCATGGAATCCTGACCATTGGTTACCATTCAGGGCATCATACTTTAAAATGTTAAATGAATCATGATGATTTATATTTTTTGAGCTCATCACTTGAATGCGTGTGTGGGAGGGGATTAAGATGTTTGAAAGGAAAAAATGATTGCTCTGAGTAGCTTGTATAAAAGCCAACCCTTTAAGATCAAATGCTCATTCATAAGAAAATTTCAATTAACTTAGTCTTGTTTGCCCATACAGATCTGCAGTGGGTGTGATGTTAAAAAAAATTCCATGTTGTTTTTGGTTGAAATGCCTGAGAGAAAAAACTTCCTGAGATCATTTTGCCCTTTTGAACACTTGAGCAGTAGAGCCCAACTCCTCACTAGAAGATCAACTGGTCAGGTTTTATTTCTCCTTAAAGAGGGTGCCAGGTATTCTTGGACTCTCAAGGAGTAGAAGAATGTCATTACACTCTGAACCTGTAGGTAAATATACTTTGGAAAAATACTTTGAGAATACTTGCACCTGATCACACTATTATTTATTAGCATTCTAACAACTTCAAGTCTCTGTACAGCTTGTAAAACAGAAAGGTAACATAGGAAGTTTATTTCAGAGGCCTTAGTCTTCACACTGGCTTAGCTCCAGCATCATACAAAAGTCACATATCCTTAGTAAGAATAGAAAGTTTTACCCAATTACTTAGTTGAACACAAAGCAGTCATTTTCTTTACTCAGAATTATCAGTTTGTATTTAACAGTCTGTTCCTTATTTCCTGTCACAAATCTTTATCTGTTGTATGGCATAGAAAACAGTTGTTATTGGTATTATGAAGTCAAAATGCCCCCATGGTCAAATAACCTGATTTGGAAAATTGCTATAAATCTTCTGTTAAAATTTGGCAGAGAAAGAGAAGACTTGTGATATGAGTCTCTTACCTTTAAATTGGCATTGGGATTCAGGCTTCATTATACTTCACATTGAATCTTTTAACTTAGAGTAAAGGAAATATTTCATCTAAAGTGATTTCCCTCCAATGATTAATTCATTAGTTGTAATTCTTCTTCTTGAATTTAACCTGAAAAGCCACTAATACATATGTAATAGTGTCCAAAATGTAACTAAGAAACATGGAATTATTGTGTCATGCACAAACATGCATACACATGCACTCTTTATTATGAGAATTTTCAAACCTAGAGGGAAAAAAAAGCTCAATAAATGCCCACCTACCAAGTGCTTTGATTTAGCAATTGATAACATGTTGCTAGAAAATAAATTGCTAATGGCATACTTATATTTGCATCAGCTCTTCGCCTACAAGCAGATATTTTCCTATATTACCAGAACCCCATTAGTACACCCAACAGAGTTAACAGCAGTTACCTAATGCCATCTACCAGCCAATTCATGCTCAGATTTCTCGAGAACTTCCCAAATTGTCTGCCTATTTATTAACTATTAGTGAAATGTTATCAGAATATTAGAAACCAGTTTCTATTAGTCAGGAGTATGTCCTGACAACAGAACAAACTTAAGCCAGCAAAATGTATAATAATTATGTATGTGGAATCACTTTCCTTCCTAAGCTACACTAACCCCCAGAGAAATTGAGGGATCAAGTAGAATCAGCTTGAGCCCTCAACCTGGTCACCACGGAGCTATGATGCTATTGGAACAACTTTGGCTGTAGTATAGGGGAAAAAGACCATTGAGTGAGATCTCCAGACACTTGTAGATGGATAGTCAGTTATTTTTTCCAACATCAGTTTTTCAGTCTTCTATCCTTTCCTTGATATCTTGAAATACTATCACATAATTATTAAAATACTAAAAGAGCCGGGCTTGGTGGCTCAGTCTGTAATCCCGCGCCTTTGGGAGGCTGAGGTGAGTGGATTGCCTGAGCCCACGGGTTCGAGACCCGCCTGGGCAGTGAGACCTCATCTCTACAATAAATCAAAAAATCAGCCGGGTGTGGTAGCGCATGCATGTAATTCTGGCTACTCGGAAGGCTGAGGCGGAAGGATCGCCGGAGCCCAGCAGGTCGAGGCTGCGGTGGCCGGGAGTGGCCACTGCACTCCAGTCTGGGTGACAGAGAGAGACTCCAACTCAAAAAAAAAAAAAAAAACTGAAAGAGAATACATGAACATATTTCTATTATCTTAGTGGGCTAATTGATTTTCACAAAAATGCAGCATTGGACTACATAAATACTTGAAGGATCTTTGTGGGAAAAGACAAAATAAATAAAATCAAACAGTAAGTGACAGACTTGGAGAAAATCTTTGCAGCATACAGAGGATTGAAAATAAGAATTCCTTGTATTTTATGATATAGTAATGTAACTGGAAAATGTCAAAGTAAGTAGATTTCATGTACTCTTACCAGAGAAAATGGTAACTAGGTGAGACGATGCTAGCCTGTAGTAATCAGTTCACTATGTGTATTTATATCAAAACGTATTGTTTTATCCCTTAAATTTCTTGAATAGAATATTGATAATGTATGCAAAGGGGAGAAAAAGAAAATAAGAGCTCCCTAAAATGCTAACAGTGCCTACAAATATGTAAGAAAAAATTACAAGGTGGAAAAAGGATAAGAGAAAGAACTTAAAAATGAAGAAATAGAAATACCTTATCATATGGAAAGATGATTAAAGGAATGAAGATTAAAACAAAAATGAGATACCTTTTATTCACCTTCTAATTGGCACATATCACAAAGGCTGATTATGTTTCATGTTGGTGAGTATACTTTTAGCATACAAATTGGTACCATTTTGTGAAAGCAATTTGGCATATCTTTTTATTATTCTAAATTTCCATCCTCCTCATTAGCTCATAAACTTCTCATTCAGATTGCCTCTGTTCCTGACTTTATATCCTATTTTTTGTATCTGCTTTCTTCTAGATGTGGCACAAGCTTTTCACTTCAGCCTGGTAGCCTGACCTTGACACCTGAGTTCCGTGATTCCTTCTCAACTGCAAGTCATTCCCATACAAAATTTGAGTGTACCTAGTCTGCACCTTTGAGAGCTTTGGAACAATATACAAGTTCAAGTCATGTTGCTTACTGACTATCTCATGAGACAAAACAGCATTTGAGTTACTTGCTTTGCCCTTGTTGTTCTGTCTGTTGTTCCTCCTGCAGCCATTGATCACGCACGTTTTGTCATACAAAAACTGTTTAGCCTTTTTTATTTGTCTTGTGAATTTTGTTATTTTGTTCTTAAGTATTACAAATCAATATTGTGTACTGCTCAGTGATATAAAATTTTCAGTCATTGTAAATTTGCATAAGTTAGGATGAGAATGGCCTCCAAGCCAAAGAACAAGAAGATGGATGATAGAAATGCAAGAAGAGTGAAGTGGACAAGAAAGGTAATGTCAGTAGCAAACAAAATGAGAGTTCTTAAGATGCTTGATAATGGCGAAAGCAAAACTTCTGTAAGCCATTTCTTTGGTGCTAATAAATCCGCAGTTCATACAGTTAGGAAATATGAGAAAACCGTTAAGGCCAGTACATTGAGGGGCACCCCAGATTGAGAAAATCATAACATGAAATATCAAAATAGAAAAAATGGGGGAAATATCTGCCTTTGTAACTTCTAAAACAGAGAAAGCTGAACAGGCCTCTTTCTTTGTGATGCCAGCAGCATCATAAAAATGCAAGTTTTAATTTCAGTGTGGATCAAAAGTTATGCTATTCGTTACAAGTAATGACTGGTTGAATAGGTTTAAGAAACCCTATGGCCTGTAGTGAAAAGAAGTGTCTAACACAGAAAGTCAATCATGGAGCTGCTGCAGAATATCCTGAATACCTGTTCTGTAAGTGAACACCTACTTGCACACCTATTGCAAAGGATCGGAAAAGGACCAGGGGCGTCAAGCCTGGAAAAGTCAAGCTCACAGTTGTGCTTTGTTCCAATGCTTCTGGTGACTCTGTTTAAACCCATGTTGCTTCAAAGATTCCAAAATCCTTGCCCTCAAAAAAATGCCAGAAACACTTTTCTGTCTGTATGAAAGGAATTTATGAAATATGGATCACTGAGAAACTCTTTTTGGATTGATTTTTGAAGCGTCTTGTTCTTTTGGTTAAATAATGTGTAAACAAAAGTAAATCTTGAATTCAAATGTTGCTGATTCTGGACACTGCTCCCGCTGTCAAAAGTGCAATAGTAATTGCTGCTCTTTGTGTCCAAGTCATCTTCATTTCTTTCAGTACAACTCTACTCCTTCAACTCATGCATCTGGGAGTGCTAAAAATGTTTACGGTATACTATAATCAGCATTTATTTTGACTATCTTGCAGATCTTATCAAAGAGACACCAGAACTTATTGTGAGATTAGCTTGGCAAAATTTGTTTTTTTGTTTTTTGTTTTTGAGTCGGAGTCTTACTCTGTTGCCCAGGCTGGAATGCAACGGCACGCTCACGGCCACCGCAGCCTCGACCTGCTGGGCTCAGGTTATCCTTCCGCCTCAGCCTTCAAAGTAGCTGAAACTATAGGCATATGCCACCATGCCCGGCTAATTTTTCTTGATTTATTGTAGAGATGAGGTCTCGCCAAGTTACCCAGGCTGGTCTCGAACCCCTGGCCTCAGGCAATTCTCTCGCCTCGGCCTCTCAAAGTGCTGTATAGGCGTGAGCCACCGTGCCTGGCAGCCAAATGTCTCTATTTGTAACGCTTTAACAATAGAAGAATCAGTGAGAGAAATAAATTAGTGAACATTTATGGAAGGCTGGCAGAAAGTGTGGAATGATGTCATAACTGATTATGAAGGTTTCTTTCCAGTAGTGGAAAAAATTGAAAATGGTGTAAGAAACATTTAGATGGTGAAGCATTTGAGACATTTAATTAAGTGATATTGCTGAACTGTTAGACTCACATCCTCAGAAGATAGTTGAGAAATATTTTGGAGATGTGATCACATCAAAAGTTGATAAAAGAGGGCGGCATAGGTTAACATCCTGAATTTGAAGAATGTTGAAGTATCCACTTCACAAATCAAATTGCAATTATGATTCAGAAGAAAGACATCCTTTGGGGTACTATCTATTGACCTCCAGGCAAGGCTTAAATGATTATTTATAACCCTATAAAGCAGTAATAAGAAACCTTCAAACAAAGGCAATGAGTCTTTTTTCTCTGCTTGCTTGACAGGGATGAAGAGGCTGGGCCATTGGGTCATGTCATTCAAAGCCCATTCTGCAAACAGGAAGCAGAAGCTTCACAAGCAGAGAGTTGAACCTTGGAATTCAGACTGATGGCTTTGCTGATGTTACGATCTGTGTCCTGGGTTGAAGCGTAGCAGAAGACCGAGCTTACTTCTCTGCAGAAAAAATGCAATTTTCTCTACTTTTTCTCTGTCACTACAGTTATGACCAAGCATTTTCATTGGTGTATTCTCTTCCTCATCTTGGGATTAGAGAGAAAGAGAAATTAATTGCCCAATATCTACTATTGCAAATGGAAAATTGATAAAATGTCATTGAAGTTTATCACATTATTGTTTTAAAAATTTCTTTTTTATTTTAAAGATGTGAGGTACAATTCAGGGTTAGGAACATAAGAGATCATTGTACAGATAAGGTTTGGGCCTTCCTTTGGTCCCCACTTAACCTGGTTTGTGAAAGCCCAGAATATTAGTTTGTTCACTAAAATGAAACAATAATGTGATACACACTAATTTTCTGGGCTTTCATAATATTGCCTTCGCTGCTCCATTTTTCTCTAAAAGGTCTTAAATTCCTCCAATACAGATATGAGGGTTTTAGAAGCTCAACTGTAAACCTAGAGAGGGGCTACTCTGTTGGACAATTTGATTTTATACTTTTGGTTCTGAAATGTATTTTAATTCTGATTAAGCTTAACTTACTACTTGACCAGAAAGGGCTACTTTGTTATAAGTTAATAAGTTAATTTGTTTTGCAGCAATCGTATATGTTAACTATTGGCTGGTCCTGAAAGGTAGCACATTTATGATGAATTCCTGTAATTTTGGTACCTAATTAATGAGGAGGAGCTACTACAGTTCATTTTCATAGATGTTCTTTGGTCTCATATCTGGCCTTTCTAGTGATTTTTACAGTTGAATATCCTCCAGCAAAGGGATGCTGATACTTCTTGTTCGTTCCATGAAGGTGGTGGAGGCTTCATTCTCAGATTTCTAAAAAAATCCGTTCTATAATTCCATGTCTTTGTTTGTTTCAGTTGTGTTACAAAAGTTGTTGTTATGGTTGTTTTTATGTTGGATGTTTGAAATTTTTCAGGCAAATTTAACAAAGGGAAAACAATCACAAAGCCATATATACAAAGCTGATATCATGTTCTAAGAAGTTTTGGCAAAGACATGATAAACCTGCCTGTGATTTTACCTACGTGTACACGTTCCCACATGATGTCCATTTTGATCTCAGTTGGACAGTTATTCTGGGGAATAGAAAGGCAGGAAGTCTGAATAACATCGCTGTTGCTTGGGTCCTAATTGCTCTTTGTGCCAGAGTCACCAGCACTGGTACTATAATTACATGTGATAATGATGTGCAGAAAACCTGAATAGAGAGAAAAAGACAAATAATTCACTGGCATGTACTTGCCAAAACAGATTTTATGTAGCTTGACAAAGAATAAAGACAACCTGAAATGATGAGATTTATGTTCAGTAATGAGAAAAAAATACTTTAAACAGTATGCTAAAAATGACATCAGAGAGTACACTTAATTTGGTCTTGTAAAAAGCAAGAAGCAGCCCACTTGAGTTGAGATTTGGAGAGGAGGAATTAAGTAATTTCCTTTCCAGTCTAGAGGTCTGAATGATAGGTTACCTATATCTGAGTTTGAAGTTATTGGGGAAAAGAGAATTAAATACAAAAGGTTAAAAGTGTTTACTTGTGTGGTTATCATTGGGATGATGACTATTCTTCAACAAGCTCGAATGACTTGGGAAGATAAAAGTTGAAAAACCATTTTAGGGGGCTCTGGACTTAGTGACTCACTACAATGCCAGGTGAGCTCATGTTTTTGCTGTAAGCCACACTGACTGTACATCAGAGTCATGATTGAAAAAACACAGATATCTGAAAACTACATGCTGACCTGATGAATCAAGGATAGAGCCAGTATCTATGTATTTTGAAAGTTCCATAAGTGATTCTTTATATATAGCCATGGTTGCAAACTGTGGCTGTAAGGCTAAACAAAATTAAGATGGAAAATATAACGTAACTGGTAGTGGACCGAGGAATTAGAAAACCTTAACTTGAAGTGTTTATTCTGTCACTAGCTCAAAGGATGGTCTTATTTAAGTCACTCTATTCGTTCCTTATCTGCCAAATGGGAGGATAGGACCACTTGGTTGCTAAGTTCCTTTTATTTTTGACATTGTTACCTCAGAGAAAGGTGTATCAACCTCATTGGTTGATTTTGAGAATACCTAAGCCCTTTCATAGAGACCAAGGTAAGTAGTAGTATTATTGTGTTGTGTTCTTGTTATTTTAAAAGTTGTGCTTATGGTTCAGGTTTTACCATATTTTAGTCCCTTCTAGGAAAGAAAGTTGGGCATAGTTGCCATAGATACAAGGCAAGCATAACCTCAATTTCCTGAAAGGAAAGAGAGTATAAATTCTTTTTCTGTGATAATTGTAGTATTTTCCTCTGGGTTATAAGATTTGGAGAAAATAATGAACAAATATTGTGTGCAAAACTCTCTAATATTTTTTATCTATTATTTCCATAAACCAAAGCAGAGAACTCTGTATGGCTAGTGCTTTAAGTTTCCATGGATTGTTTGCTTAGTTTTTAAAAAATTTTGTGTTCAGATATTAATCATGTCCAGAAGGAAATATTTTGAATCTGTGATCTTTTTACCATTATAATCAGTGGTTTCATGTGTCTTTAAAAAATGAGCTTTCTTGATAATTTTGCCATTCATTGAGATTACTATGTTGGCAAGGTTTTCTCTTAATTTGACCAGAAATAGAGAAATCAAATTTTAAATTGAATTGCATCTATTAGGAATTCCTAAAATAAAATAATACTATGAGGAATTGATTATTGTATGATTTTAGTTGTCATGGAAATACCTTGGCTTTGTCCTGATAGATGGAAACATTTGAAGTAAAATATTAAAATAAATCTAATCCTTCTTTAAGGCAATATCCAGTTAAAATAATCTAAAAAGTATCACTGATGCAAAATAACATTTTAATGTAGTTGAGTTTGACAAATCAGAGAACTTATAGGAGGATGTGAAGTTTGGTATAGGTTAAATGGTAGAAACAAAAGTTAATGGCAACAGTGCCCTGTAAACTGGTATTTTTTTCTTCTTTAAGAATAGTCCCCAAAATAGAAAAACTGAAATTTATTCTAGTATATCTTTTAGTAGAGAGAATTTTTTCTGTTGTCAAAAAGTTTGGATAAATTGTTGAGCTAAATATTATGAAGTGCAAGGAAATTTCCTTTCTATAGAGATGTTTAGCCACTGTGGAACAAAAAAAACAAAAAAGCAGAGTGGAGTGGGGAGAAAGGGCAGCCTAGGTTACTGAAATGTGGAGGATATATTAGAAAACTGGAATTACATTTTAAAAGAATCTTTCGTTTAAAATCCTTTATGTTCAATATGCAGAGCAGGTTCTTCATGTCACACATGTGGATTACATAGCTGCTGCCACCTGGTTGCTAATAAAGGGTTTCAAATGTGTGTATAGTCTAAAAGCTTATGTGAACAATGTTTGTGATGTGAAATGCTTTGATCACTGAAGTTTACATAGTATTATTATCTTTTAAGTTTTTTATATCAGTGTGTTACGGTTGTCTAAGAATTCAGAAATAAATATGTGCTGTGAGCAGGGTGTATATATTCCCAGGAACTATAAAATCAAATAGAAAATAGATGAAATAATAAATTCTATATTTCATTAGCATGAATAGCAAATTTTGAGAAATTGAATATAAAACCAGTGTGTTTGAGACATTACAATTCATCTTGCATTGCTACATAAACCCAAAGATATAATTAACCGATCATTATAAACACCTAGAGTAGCTATGCTGTTGACTACTTGGCAGTGGTATGATGAATGTCTCAATGAGAAGAACATGGACGTAGTGTGAGACTTCTTGTCTGCTCTGGGCTGGTGACTCTCTGAGTGAGTGGTGCTTAGTCATGGCATTATAACCCTTGGCTTATTAGGGTGTGAGAAATCAGCATGAAGCCTAGACTTTGAAGTCAGACAGACTTGCTTTCAAATCCTGCCACTGCCAATTACCAGCAGTGTGACTGCGGGCATGTTTCTTAATCCTTCCAGACCTTAGTTTCTAATTTGTAAAATGGGGTTAAAAATGCCTGCATCTTAGGATTGCTATGAGATTTTATGAAATGCTTAGTACAGTGCCTGGCACATAGTAAGCGCTCAATAAATTATTGCTATTATTATTATTATTATGACATAAATAAGCATTATAGAATTAGAATATGATATTTACTCTTGTCTTTACAAAAATTTAATATTTTTATATTTTATTTAATTTTCCTTAAAGTAAGATATGCCTGATGGTTTTAAGATGAAAGAAGGAATAAAAAATTAGTTTTAATTTTTTTTGGTTTGCTAGTGAAGAATACCTAAAATAATAATTTCCTTGTCTCTAAGTTACTCCTTGACCTACAGTGATGCTTTATGCTATATTTATAGTGTGGTTATCATTGTATGATATATACTAACATAATGATTAGAGGCAATTTGTTTTTTACTTGACTGTGTTCCTATCTTCTAGAAAAGAATCCATCTGCTTGATTACACTTTAAAGATAATTAATTATCTCTGATACAGAGTAAAGAAAAAGCTACATAGGACTTGATTTTCTTGACCACCAAGTTATTAGCACAATTGCCTTTGAGAGAAATTGTGTACATCTAAATAATTTTACTAGGCAAGGACAGTTCCACACAACTGGCTTCTGAATTTTGTATTCTATGTATTCTCTGATGGCATTCAGGATGCTTAAAGTAATAGTGTTCAGAATACTGAGTATTCATCATAATTCTAATGCTGTATCTGCTGAGTGACAGAACAGTCACTGCCTTAATTCTATCCCCCACTACCACTTACCTGTATGACTGTGTTAGGCTCACATTTCAACCCTTTAAGTGTTTTAACTTGGAGTATTTGGCGTTCTACTATGTATATCTGGTAGTCTTGACTATTCAGAACGTTGCTGTTTGACTAACTTTCCTTGTTTATAGTTCTGATTCTGATATTCCTAATCAAAGACTTTTGTTGGCTGTTCACGGCCTGTGTATTCTACTACTTAATCTTTAAATTGTGGCCATCCCAGTCTACCTTACCAGTTTTGCATGCCAATCTTTTCTTTTCTGCAATATACATTTTAGTCCTTGTCTTCCTCAGCCTTATCTAAGTACTGAAGACCTTCAACTTATAGTTCAACTTGGATCTCTTAAACTTGTTCCTTAATCTCTGGTGGGTAAAATCAGAAATTACATGTACTATAGGTGGGCACCATGGCACATACCCATAGTCCCAGCTACTTGGGTCTCAGCTGTAATCTCTTTCATCTCTTTTCTGTTCCCCTCCATATATGCCCGGTGTTGTAGAAGTGGTTTTCTTCTCTAATTTTCTTCTATTAATTAGGACTTTCCAACAGATTCCTTGCAATCTTGGTTAGAGTTCTGAATACAACCCTGCCCAAACTACTGCTTAGAGATTAAATCCCATTCTTAGGTTCCTGCTGGCCTCTCCTCCTGACTATCATTATATTACATGTTTTCATTATTTACCATTGGGTTTCAAATTGCTCTATCTGTTCTTTATATGTGAATGCTAGCCTGTAGTGTACTTATTTTTACCATACCCTAGATTTGGCATCTAGAGCAAGGCTTGGAAAACTAAGGCCCTTGGGCCAAATATAGACGAACTTTTTAAAAAATAAAGTTTTATTGCAACACAGCCATCCTTACCCATTTGCTTATTGTCTATGGCTTCACTGCAATGGCAGAGTTGAATAGTTGCAACATCGACCATATGGTGTGGAAAACCTTAGATATTTGCTATCTGATCTTTTACAGAAAATGTTTGCTGACCCATGTTCTAGAGCCAAGTAGTTTCCCTAACTTAGATACTGCTTATTCTTTGATAACTTCCCATCTACATCATGTCAACCCACTAAGGCCCAGAAGGCAAGATCATAGAGACTATGAAGCTAAGTTCCAACTTATTGAAACTACTTGCTTTTTCTTGAATTTCTCTGCCTTTTTGTCTCTTTCCTAAGATGTCCTTGTGTTTAGCTTTTTAATGGAATAAATGTGATAGTCTTAAAGACTGTAAGACTAGTCTCAGGATGTTTTTAATGTAATATCTAGGACCTAATGGCAATATTTGTCTTTCAATATTGCCAATTTTTTTTTGAGTTGGAGTCTCACTCTGTCACCCAGACTGGAGTGCAGTGGCCGCTTCTGGCCACTGCAGCCTCGACCTGTTGGGCTCCGGTGATCCTTCCGCCTCAGCCTTCCAAGTAGCTGGAACTACAGGCGCACACTATCACGCCTGGCTAAGTTTTGATTTATTGTAGAGATGAGGTCTCACCAAGTTGCCCATGCGGGTCTTGAACCCGCGGGCTCAGGCAATCCACTCACATCAGCCTCCCAAAGCCTGGGATTACAGGCTGAGCCACCGAGCCCGGCTGCCAATATTTTTTAAACATAGCTTTCTAATACCTTTATGATTAGGCCTTTTTATTCTTCAGTGTCTCTAACTCAGGTTTTCTGAGTTCCACATCTTCCAACATCTTAAATTGACAGATCTTCCAAATATTATATGGTCTATGTCTCTGGCCTGCAGCATCTTCAGTGCCCATATTTTCCAATCTTCCCATTATTGGAGCAATTAAAAGTTAGATTTTTCCAATGTCACCAGCAGTCAAACTTCATCCAGATTTTGTTTTTCAGGAGACAAAGTTCTAACTTACAATTCTTTGGTTCTAAGCCTCCAAAGTCTACTATATACAGGTCTTCTAGAGTCCATGAGTTTTACAGTATTTGTCTAGATTTTTAAATATCTTCTAGCACTTGCATTATTCAGTTACCATATCTTTGACTGTCTCTTAAATCTTGGTCTTAAAAAAATTTTTTTTTTAAATCACCAGTTCCTACAGTGCCCAAGTCTTTCACTATCTCCAAGAATCAGGTCTCCCAGCTTTTAGGTATTTCAATATTTCCAATGTCTGAATGACTAGATACTTTAAAATCCGTATCTCCTAATATTCAGATCTCCTAATGTCTGGGGCTGCCAGCATTGGTGGCCTCAAGCATCTTTAAAATTTAATTCTTCCAAATTGTTTGTCTTTTGATATAATTATGTAAATGTCTATGTTTTTCAATGTCTCCCAATATCCAGGGATTTTGATTTCAGGATATTTAAATATCTACATCCTCAGTTATCCGCCAGTGCTTAGGAGTTTCAAAGTACGAGACTTACAGTATAGCTAATGTCCAGGGCTTCCAGTGTTTATGATTTCCAATATCCAATAAGCCAAACTTCAGGGCCTCCGAAGTCTCCAGTGTCCACAGTAACCAATATCTCTGAAATCCAAGGCTTCCAATGTCTCCAACATCCTGTGCTTGCAATGTTTCCAATGTCCAGGGTTTCCAATGGAGCCAGTGTCAAGGTCTTCCAACAACTCCAGGTCTTCCAACAACTCCAAGTCTTCCAACAACCCCAAGGTCTTCCAGAAAGTCCATGTCTTCCAGACAATTTATGTCTTCCGGACAATCCATGTCTTCCAAGAACCTCCAAGTCTTCCAGTAAATCCAGTCTTCCAGCAACTATAAGTCTTCCATTAAATCCAGATCTTCCAGGACAATCCACGTCTTCCAGAAAATTCAAGTCTTCCAATAATTTCAAGGTCTTCCATCAAATCCAGGTCTTCCAGCCAATCCATGTCTTCCAGAAAAATATGTCTTCCATTAAATCCAAGTCTTCCAGTAGATCCAGTTCTTCCAGACAAATCCAAGTCTTCCAATCACTCAATGTCTTCCAGAAAGAAATCCAAGTCTTCCAGTCAATCGGTGTCTTCCAGAAGGAAATCCAAGTCTTCCAGTCAATCAATGTCTTCCAGAAGAAAATCCAAGTCTTCCAGTCAATCAGTGTCTTCCTGAAGGAAATCCAAGTCTTCCATTCAATCAGCGTCTTCCAGAAAGAAATCCAAGTCTTCCAGTCGATCAGTGTCTTCCAGAAAGTAATCCAGGTCTTCCAGTCAGTCCATGTCTTCCAGAGAAAATCTACGTCTTCCAGAAAAAAATCTACGTCTTCCACCAAATCCAAGTCTTCCAAATCAATCCATGTCTTCCAGAAAAATCCAGGTCTTCCAGCCAATCTATGTCTTCCACCGAATCAAGTCTTCCAGTCAACTCATGTCTTCCAGAAAAAATCTGTGTCTTCCACTAAATCCAAGTCTTCCACTAAAGCCACGTCTTCCAGAAAATTTATGTCTTCCAACAACTTCCAGGTCTTCCAGCTAATATATGTCTTCCTGAAGATCTACGTCTTCCAGAAAATCCATGTCTTCCAGTAATCTCCCTGTCTTCCAAACAATCCAGGTCTTCCGGACAATTCGGGTCTTCCTGAAAATCCATGTCTTCCAAAAAAGCCACGTCTTCCAAAAAATTCATGTCTTCCAATGATTTCCAGGTCTTCCAGCCTATCCATGTCTTCCAGAAAAATTCTTGTCTTCCATCAAATCCATGTCTTCCAGGAAATCCATGTCTTCCAGCAAATCCACGTCTTCCAGCAAAACCATGTCTTCCATCAAATTCATGTCTTCCAGCTTACTTATGTCTTCCAACAAAGGTACGTCTTCCAGAAATCCATGTCTTCCCACAAGGCTACGTCTTCCAGAAAATCCATGTCTTCCAACAAAGCCATGTCTTCCAGAAAATCCATGTCTTCCAACTAAGCCACGTCTTCCAACAAATCCATGTCTTCCTACATCTCCAGGTCTTCCAGCATCTCCAGGGCTTCCAGCATCTACTTGTCTTCCAGCATCCCTACGTCTTCCAGCATCTCCACGTCTTCCAGCATCTCCACGTCTTCCAATATCTCTATGTCTTCCAGCATCGTCATGTCTTCCAACTACTACCCAGTCTTCCATCAGCGGCTCAGCATCAACGTCTTCCAACGTCTCCAGTTGTGCCGATCTTCTAACATTCAGGTCTTCCAGTGTCTGCAATATTCAGGTATTCAAACATGTTTTATGGCCTTGGTCTTCCTAATTTTCCCCAGGTCCAAGCCTTTTCAAATCGAATCTTCCCCTGTCCAGGCCTTTCTATGTTAAGATCTAAGATCTTTCCACAGACAGATTTTCCAACTCAAATATTTCTGCTTCTTGTTGAATTCGCTTCAAAAAATTTTAATAGGGTATGCCTCCTTTTAGTTAAGATCTTATGAACCAACTGTACTGCAAATTTTTTTTTTTGCTATTAGGAATTGTGTATTTAATCTCTACAACTTTTAAGAGAGTGTTGTTTTAAAAAGCTATAGAATAGACAGATGGCATTGCTGCAACAGTTTCCTATTTTCCGAGTGATCATAGTTTTTATACAGTTGACTATGTTTAGGTACAAGTGAGGTTTTTATTTAAAGCAAAATTCTTGTTTAACTCTGGTATTTTAGATAAAGTTAACATATTATTTGTCCCCTTTTAAATAATATTAATTTTCATTTGTTTGGTCTTACGTGACTAGATAATAATAACAACAACACATGACATAGCTTTTACTATGTCCAGGCACCATTCTAATATCCTTACATGCATTAACTAATTTAATCGTCATAACCATAGAAGTAGGTGCTATCATTATCCCCACTTTACAGATGAGGAAACTGGCACACAAAGATGAAGTAAATTGCCTCAAAGACGCAATTACTAAATAATAGAGCTGGGATTTAAACCCAGCTATCCTGTTTCCAGAGTCCAGGTCCTAACTGCTATGCTACAATATCTGCTGTTGAAAATTAAGATGAGAATGATGGGATCCAAAGCTTGATTGCTCCCATATTATGAGTAGAATATTATAAGATCTTATATATAAATGGTCTTTCTTGATCCAGTCACTATCAGAGCCTCTTAGTATTCACAGCTTTTATTCCTCAACCAGCTACTATCATTCTCTTGCTCACGTATATGGAAGTAGGTGCAAATACATTCTGATATCATTTTCAGTTTTTGCAGGAAGGATATAAGGGAGAACTGAGTTCAATTGCCCTTTGCTTTTGAATCATATTTATAGCTCCAATTTTTAAACACTGATGCTTGCAATTTAACTCTCATCTATTTTAATCCCTTATCACTGACCATTCTCCAATTTGCACCTTACTATCTAGAGCACATACCATTAGTTTGTCTTTGACCCCCAGGATCTACCTGCTTTTTCAAATATCATGACCTCCTGGGTTCCTGACCACTACTTTGTATTCAACTCATGGTAACTCCAACTCCTTAAATCCCAGCATGCTGACCTAGAGAACTAATTATTTGGTTCTCCAAGTCTCAGCTCTCATCAGGTGCTTCCAGTAATGTTGCTACCCATGCCTCTGGCTGGCATGAAAGGCCTGAGAGGCAGGCATGAAAAGCCTGAAAGCCACATAATAAAATTTATACAGTTAGTGAGGACTCTCCAAAGATTTAGAATCATCCATATGGTAACTAAATGGAACAATAACAGTAATACTAATTAAAATAGCAATACCTTTTGAATGTCTAATGTTTTACAGTTTACAGAATGCTATTGCCTCATTTATCCATTCATTCACTCATTCATTCATTCAACAAGTATTTATTGAGCGCCAACTGTGCCAGGCATGTATTAATGGAGCATAAAATCATCTATGGGAAATAGACAATGTACAAATAATTGAACAATTACTTACCAATTGCAGTAAGGCTATGAAGGAAAAGTAAGTATAAGATTCTGTGAGAATTTAGAAAGCAGAAGAAAGTTTCCTGAGGAAGTAACATCTATGGTGACTCTGATCTATTTTCTCATTTGGTTATTGCAATATAACCTTGTGGGTTACATAAGACAAATGCTTTTATATCAGTTTTACTAATCATTACTAACAATGGCCATGGGCTTCATATGTTTTGACTTCTTTTTTTTCCCTTCTACTCCATTCTCCCTTTAAGTATATATGAAATATTGTTTGGCAAAATATATAAAGGAATATTAAAATGTTCTCTTTGACTTCGTATTTCCCACTTCAAGGAATCTATCTAAGAACATTATTTAAAATGTGAGAATGTATTGCACAAAGATGTGCCTCACATAGTTATTTGATAGAGTGAAAAATAAAAACAAAAACATAAGAGGGAATGCTTAAATGTGCTCTGTACCTATGATGGAGTATTATTCCATTAAAATATCTAAGATATATTCATTTTATAGTGTTAACTGAGAAATCAGTATACAAGGTTATATAAAATATGATTGCAACTATTTTAAAATACATAATCAGAGACAAATGACCAGAAGTAAACACACTGGAGATTGTAAATTAATTATTGCTGGCTGGGTAAGATTGTGTGTAATTGTTTTCTTCTATATGTTCATTTTGCTTTTTCTAAAGTTCTTGTGATGTGAAGATATTTTATTTTCAGGAAAATATTTTAACAATTATGCACAAAATTTATTATTTATTCATCTTCTTTATTGTACATGTAATCAATATTTGCTGTTGAAAACATTTCAAAATATAAGTAAGCAAAGCAAAAAAATTTAAATTCTCAAATAATCTCAATACCCAGAAATAATCACCATAAAGTTTTTCGTGTATGTTTTTCCAGACTCTTCCACAGGTATATTTACTTTTTTTACAAGGTGGAATCACTCTGCCACTTAACCTGTTTCTTTCACATAACTATAAATTGTGAGCAACTTTCTGTGTCAACAACTGTGCATTTTTGTTACGATTTTAATGTATATTTTTATACTCCATCTCACATTGGTGGGCATTAAGTTTCTTCCAAATGTTTGTATTATAAAAACTGCTATGATGAGCAAATACGTTGTGTAAGTTGTGCAGAATACAAACCGCGTTGTCCTACATAGTGGCCTTGTATATATTTGTGTGCAGATTTGTTCAGATATTACTTAGGATAAATTTATAAAAGAAGAACTGCTGAGCCAAAGGCCATATACATCATAATGCTTATCACAGCAAAAAATTACAAGCAGTCCACATGTTCAAAAACTGGTATTGCTGAAAAATTGTATGGAAACTATATGATGGAGTATCATGCAAATTTATAAAAGAATATTTAAATTTATAAATGAATATTTACTGAAATGGAAATATGTTCACAAGGTAACATCAGTGAGAGGAATAAGACACAGGAAAGTAAGTATAATATTCATATTTTATAAAAGAGAAATGATATAAATGTTTTCAAAAAATAAACAGAAGCAGTAAAAGTACCAAAAGGAAAATGGATAAATCATGATATGTTTACACAATGAACTATTATATAGAAGTGATATGAATTCTCTACTGCTACTCATAATACAGGGAGATGTTAAATTAAGATACCAAGTCCCAAAAGACTGCATATAAAATAATATCTTTTTTATATTATTCAAAATCAAGTAAAACTAAACACTGTATTATTTAGGGCTACATATATATATGGCATGCAATCAACTTGTTACAAACAAAAGAATATTAATGAAATACTTCAGGATCATGGTCACTGTGTTTGAGGAAAGGAAGTCAGAATATGGGAGAATTACATAAATGAATTTAAGTTATTGTTGATATTTTAGTGCTCCGGTCTGTTGATAGGTGGTTATTATGTCATTATATAATTAAAATCGTTTATTGGTTATTTAATAATTGTATGATTATTATTAAAATTAAATAAAAGAACAAGTCAATGGATAAAATAAAAGAGGGCCATGCATGAATCAATGAGACAGTGTGCACAATCTAAGTATTATTCTAATTCTGCGCTCTCATATTTCATTGTTTTAAAGTAATTTTCTCTGGGTAATGGGAGCACATGGGATTTTAATTCTCTCTCTCTCTCTCTCTCTCTTTTTGAACTGGGGTCTCACTCCTTTACCCAGGCTGGAGTGCAGTGGCCCACATGCTCCCGGCCACCGCAGCCTCAACCTGCTGGGCTCCAGGTATCCTTCTGCCTCAGTCTTCTGCGTAGCCGGAATTATAGGCACATGCTACCATGCCCGGCTATTTTTATCTTATTGTAGAGATGAGGTCTCACCAAGTTGCCCGGGCTGGTCTTGAACCCGCGGGCTCAGGCAATTCACTCGCCTCGGCCTCCCAAAGTGCTGGGATGACAGGCTGAGACACCGAGCCTGACCTTGAATTATTTTTAAAATTCAAAAATATTAATTGAAATTTAATGTTAATGAGTTTTTAATGATAGAGGAAAATGTAATTTTCATTGAAAAACAAGCTCAAAGTTGCATAGACTAAGATCTAAAATATGCTTAAAATACATAACAGAGATTAAAAAGAAAAGTTGACATATTAATAGTAATTGCTTTTGCATAGTGAGATTTCAAATTGCTTTTTTCTGTTTCCTTATACACACATACGATCCAAATGTTATAGGGTGAGCTAATCTTTTGTTATAAAAGTAATATATGCTTATTGTGAAAAATTTTTAAAAATACAATTGCAAATTAAAAAGTGAAAATATCCTTCTCCTATTCTCACTACCCAGATATAGCCATGACTATTCGCTTTGTATATTACCAATACTTTTTTTTGTTTATGTGCATATGTTCCTGTGCATTTTAAAAATGAAATCATCCTATACATACTATTCTACAACTTTCTTTTTTCCTAACTCAATAGAAAGTCATTTTTTAGCTACAAAGAATTCCAGAGTAAGCTGTACTGTATAATTTATTAAATTTTTTCCACATGATAGAATTAACAGTTTGTTGCTATTAAAGATAATGTTATAAAAAGCACCCTCTGAATATATTTTTTGCACTTTTACAATAATTTTTGAAAGCTAGTATCTTAGCAATACAACTTCTGCATCAAAATGCTTAAGCTACATTGCCCTCCTGGCATCTTGGACACTATTATTCTTTGTAAATTTTTGTCAGTATTTTACATGGAATATTTAATTTTATTCCTTTAAATTATTTTTCCTAATACTAATTAAAGTTAAACATTTTTCATATATTTATAAGCTATTTATATTTCTTCTATTGGAATTTGTTTGGTCATAACCTTTACCTATTAGTTGTGTCATTTGTCATTTTTCCTTATTAACATATGGGTGATGTCTGGCTATTAAAACTGGTATCATTTTTATCTGGATTATATTGCAAATGTCTATCATTTGCTTTTTAAAATTTATGGTGGTATTTGCCTTAAGATTTAATTTATGTGAATAAATATTTTAATCTTTCTTTTACAGTTTTTGGTTTTGTATCATACTTAGGTAAGCTTCTGTACTGCAAGGTCATAAAAATTATCTTCTACATGTTCTTCTAATTTTTAGTAATACGTATATTCTTTAGAGATGAGGGTTTCACCATATTGCCCAGGCTAGTTGTGAACTCCGGGGCTCCAGCAATACTTCCACTTCAGCTTCCTGAGTAACTGGAACTACAGACACGTGCCACCATGTCTGGCTCACATAATATATACCCATTAATTGCTTAGTGCTCTAATCTATCTGAAATTGTTTTTACTTTTGTAAGTGTGTATAGTGGAAAGTAGGAATCTATGCTTTTTTTTTTTCAGAAGAGAGCATTAATTTTTCCAAATTTTTATTTAACTAAATTATTTCCATACTGATTTGGAATTCCTTTTTTATAATAAACAATATGGACATATTTCTAATGTTTCTCTTCTATGCAAGTGAAAAGATTTGCTTATTACTGAGCTACTACTTCACTGTTTTAATTACTGTAGCATTATGTTTTTGAAGTATGTTAGGACTGCGCCCCTTTCGTCATTCATTTTTTTCAGAATTTTTGACTGTTACAGTGCATCTTATTTTTCCAGATGAATTTTAGAATCCACTCATTAACTTTCAGAAAATAATCTCTTGAAAATGCCTCCGACCTTTTCAGTAATATGTCAAGAAGTGCCATATTAGTTGGGCACAGTGGCTCATGCCTGTAATTCCAGCACTTTGGGAGGCAGAGGTGAGAGGATTGCCTGAGTTCAGGAATTCGAGACCAGCCTGGGCAACTTGGTGAGACCTTGTCTCTACAATTAAAAAAGAATTAACCAGGAATGGTGGCATTGCCTTTGGTTCCAGCTACTTGGAATATTGAGGTGGTAGGATCACCTGAGCCCAGCAGGTCGAGGCTGCGGTGGTTGAGTGTTTTACTGCACTCCAGCCTGGGCGACAGAGTGAGATTCCTACTCAAAAAACAAAACAAAACAAAACAAAACCAAAGTGCCATATTTAGGATAGTGCGTTTTGTATCTGAGAACATGGTGCATGTTTTAATTTAATTTTATTGTAGTCTCATTTTAGATATTAAACAATTGTTTGGCTTATTCTTATTATATAGTATTTTATTCCTTTTATGTGAGTGATACTGCATTTAAAAATCATTATCAATAGTGTGTAGAAAACTATTGATTTATAATAATTATGTTCAGGCTTCATATTAAACTTTGTTCTTGGTTTTAACAGTGGTTTTTATTTTCATTTGATTATCTTGAATTATTAGGTGCACACTCATGACGTTTGTGAATAATGAACCATTTAACTTTTCCTTGCTAATGATTGTATCTAGTTTTTTTTTTTTTTTCCTTTTAGCACATTGGTACAGACTTTATGACTTCCAGGACAATTCAAATTGTTAGTGATTAATAAAGATCAGGCAATATTCTCTTGTTTTTGACTCTAATAGAAATGCCTCATTGTTTCAGTCTAAACTATTCAATTGACATTGTTTCCATTAGATGAGCATTTTCAGGGTAGAAAAGTGCTCTTCTATTCCTGATTGACTTATTATAAGAAATGTATATAGAATGTTATCATTATGCCTATTCTGGCATCTGCTAAGCTGATATTAAAATGATAATAGGGTCATTTTCTTTAATCTATTAATACAGTCAGTTACCTAATGTTGAGCTATTTTTGCATTCCTGGAATAAAGCTGATTTGATAGTGGTGTTTTGGTATGTCGTTATTTTATTTAGGGAGTAAAATTCTATATTAACAAGTGCCCATAGAAGTGCCTCCTTACCTCTTTAACATCATAGCATGGTCGACTCTACTTGGCTGCCCAACTGCTTTAGGAGGCAAAGATGACAGTAAACGAATAATCCAACCACTGGATGGATGCCAGTGTGGCGTGGCACATTTGTTGGCAAACTCTTATTTATTATTTTTGTAAGTGTGAAGTATCTTTCCCAATTTGATACAGGATTATATTACCCTTGTGAATAAACTTGAATGTTTTTTCTTTTTCTACAATGTAAATAACTTTTGACACAAGATTTACTTAAACAGGTGGTAATATTCACCAATAAAACCATTTTATCTTGGTGCTTACTTGGGGTTAAAAATTTAAATCTTTCAATTTCTTTTATAATCAGTTTATCCAAGTTTTGCACCTCTTCTGGAGTCAGTTTTGTCAAAACTTGTCTGTTTCATCTGAATTTTCAAATCTATTGATTGGAAGATACATGTAATATTGTCTAATGTGTATTTATTTTTTGTACATGCAGCTATATACCTTTTAAATTCCTTTTTCTAATAGGTCTTTCCATAAGTTTGTATAGTTTATTTTCAGTTGTCTTTTTTTATGCCAAGTGAGTTTTAAGTATAATTTTCTGCTTTCGCAAATTTCTTCTTTTTACATTTTTTGATTTTGTTTGATTTTTTCTAGATTCTTTAGGTGAATGCTTAGTTTGCTTTTCAATCTTTCTTATTTTCTATTTAATGCATTTAAATTTTAAATGCTAATCCAAATACGTAGATAATGATGCCCCATAATTTTTGTGGTTCTTTTCTCACCTTATCTGTAGTTAAAATTTTGTTTTCCTTTTTAATCTAAGTTATTTAGAAGTATATATATTTCATTGTGGTTAGGTTTTAGTTAATACTTTGTATGTCTATGCTTTTTTCTTAATTACTACTAATACTGTCTCGTGGATGAAGAATATTTCTTGCATGAGTTATACATTTTGAGACAGTTTCTTTGTATCCTATATGTAAAACATTTTAAATAAATATTTTATGGACAATTGAAGCAAAATATATTTTATTTTTGTTGGGATAAATATATGTTTCTACATTGTAAATAAAATTTGTTCATTGTTACTCAAATTTTCTATTTTTGCCTTCTTGATCTAAATTTTCAATTAAAGTCTGTGAAATATCTCGCTTCATTGTTTTATCAAAATCTCCTATTTCTAACTTTTTTGACTTTACATATTTGAAATAGTTTTTCAGTGCATTAAGTTGTATCATTGTCTTATTGGATTATATACAAGGGGAGACCCAAAAAAAACCCAGAACTATTTTTTGGAAGATGGGGACCCTTGCAATACAGGCTTCCCCCGCTAGGTAGGTGTTCTAGGCACCCATCAGCATCATTGTACCAGCTAGCCTTGTTGTGAGAGGCTGCGTTCAGCTACAGTGTATTATTTTTGGAGATTCTTCAGCATGTTTGCTCATTTCATAATGGGTGATTTACGACCACACCTACCCACTGAGTATTCAGCAGTTTTTGAACAAAAGCGGCATGATCCCCGTTCTCCATCTCCCCTATTCACCTGATCTTGCCCTGAGCGACCTTTTTGTTTCCCTAGAAGAAAAAAGACCTCAAAGGGAAATGTTTTGCTGATGTGGCAGAGGTGAAATACATGACGGCAGAAGCACTAAAAGGCATCAAAATTGACAAGTTCAAAAACTGTTTTAAGCAGTGAAAAATATGTCTTGACAAGTATATTACATTAAACTGAGAGTACCTTCAAGGTAACTGAAGTTTGAACATGTAAGATAAATATACAATTTTGGGGGGTTCCCTTTGCATTTTAGTTCACAAAGATGACTTTTTTGACCCACTT